TTTTTTCCAGCTCGATTAGACGCCATCTTCATTTTCATTCTGAGAACTTTTGTTAGAACCCTCGTATACCCAAAAAACCAAAACTAATAAGGAATGAATCTGTTGATACAGTCCTGTATTCGTCATCATCTGCAGAAATTTCAAGGTTAAATACGGTTTACAAATAAACACCTTCAAATTGTTCAGCACAGTGGGAAATCATGAACAATTGTAAAATTTGTAATTTTAGGAGAAACAGGTGCTTGTTCGCTGAAGCAAGCATTTAGTAAATGAGGAAGGAACGACTACTGTATTGTGCAGCGCTGCCCAACTCAGACAAGGCCAAGGGCCATATTAATACATTATTTGTGGCCAATGGCCATATAGCAGAGGTGGAAAGTTCTTGCAGACTAAACTAAATTATTTTTGAGGTTCTACATTTTTCCTTTTTAAATAAAAATATTCAAATGTAATTCAGTGCAATGCATTGAATTACAGGAATGGTCTCAGGAACATTTTTAAAGAGGGGAAAAAATTTTGAATTCATAAATTCATCTTTCAATACACAGCACTATAAATTACTGTATATATTTTGAACAGTGTCAGCTGTCACATTGAAAATTATGGATAAGGGACCGCAGTATGGATGAAGAGTCTCTGATGTGGGCCAGAGTGAGCCCCAGGGCCATATGTTCGTTAGCACTGGACTAGAGCTTTCCCTGACACAAAAAATTTTGTTGAATCCATAAGTTGATTTCAGAAAGTTGCTTTTTCAACTGAACTTTGAAGCATGTCTCATCAAGGTAATACTGTACTCTTGAATTTACCCACTGAAGTAAAGGTCAGATTCATCAAATTACAGAACAGACGGATATACACTTGATGAATCAACAAGCAGATTACATACCTCAGATCAGTAATCATCTTGCTGGTGCACCAGCTGTAGTTGTGACGCATCAAACTTTGCTTTGTACTTCAAAACGCGGATTTCGGCTTTCACAAAAGCAGAAGTTTTTTGGGCGACCCAAAGCGTAGAATAAGACCGAGCACCAATCATCTCAAGTAAAGCAAAGTCTTCTCCAACAATTGCTTCGGCTACATCTTCCAAATTCTTTCCATTGTAAATCACAGTGTGTCTTCCTCGCATCTGTATCTGTTCTTCAAAATACGACGGTTTTACTATGACGAGCTTCTTGGCATACTTCTCCAGCACCAAATATCTCAGTACTTGAGGATATGCTTCTTTCCACCAGTCCTCCAATTCTGGGAAATGTCGCGGTCCTACCACTAGGACAACTGCTCGGCACTTGCGTAATTCCATCTCAAGATTCTGTGATGTCTGCCAAAAAATTCATTGATTTTTGTATTTTTTGATAGAATTCAAGGCAGATAATTTTACCTTATGATGAAACACATTTAATTTGCATCAAATATTGATGAAATTGGATTTTTCAAGCGCTAAATTACAGTACAGTATATTAATTTGATCATGCGTTATAAAAATTGAATATTCAGGATATTTAGATTTATTTGAAGCAGTCAACACGTGAGTTTAGGTTCCAGCAGTCATAAGAAATAAACAAATTTTCATGAAAAAATCAAAATTCATATAAAAAGCAAACATCACTTGAACAACATTAATAAAAATTGTATGAAATACACTGTACTGTATAGTCATGGTGTAAAAGGAATACATGACACCGTACTTTACAAGCAAACAATTAGGAAAATTCAAGGGAAATTCTTGACATGAAGCTCCTTTGACTCACCTTTTTCATCAACTCCAGCAAATTCTTGTTTTCAAAGACACTCAAATCATTTATGCGTTTGAATAAATCTTCAAATAACTGGAAATGCTCTGCCCACGTCACATTTGTTACCCAAAGTACCATCCCTGTAAAAAGCATTCAATAAAATGTCATCAATAATCTACAGCAAGTAAAAGTTATAGATCAATAAATACTGTCTAGACCTTAATACAATTTTAAAAGTTTTGATTTGGCGTGAAATTTTCCTTAATCTACAAAGCGCAGTTGCAAAGGAAAGGACAGTATTTTATAATATAAATCAAGCACAAAGATTAAAACTTGAAAAATATACAACAAAAAGCAAGAAACGGCATCATATTTCTTGATGGAAGCTGTTTTATCTTTAAAGATATTGCCTTTAGTGATCCAAATTAGTTCATATTCTTGGATGATGATTCAGTCAATCAATATTAAAGAAAAAGTGAAGATGTTATATTGTACCTTGCTTTTTTCTATGCATTTTGACAAAGAGAATCAGGAGTACCAACGACAGCAGTCCACTAGCCCCAAATCCAACAAGAATTCCAATCCTGGTTCCTTCAATAATGAAACAATAAAAAAATTGACATACAAAAAAACCAAACAGTATTTAGATGCTTCACATTACCTGCTGCTGTTTGCGCATCATTTTGAACAGAAAATCTGAATTTTGGCGAAGGGTCGTAATCTAAGCATGACTGATTTTCTCCGACCATAATCCTCAGATAGTAGCTTCCATCTGGAATTTTTTTTTTAATCATCAATGGTCTTCCTGGCTTTTCTGTGCAATGAGCACTGGCATCTGCCAGGTAAACCTTAGTGGGAGACAACGATTTCGACGCATCATCCCCAAGACAGACAGAAATCTCAGTATCATTCCACCAAGTTGGAAAGATGAAACCAGGTTCTTCAACACGAGTTTGATAGAAAAACGGCCTCTCTAAATGAAATGAAAAACCGCGTGTGATGATTGGGACAAATTTGAGGGGGGAATACATACCAGTCCGCGGTCTTGGGAAGGTGACAGTGTTCGAAAAATTATTATCAGTGGCATAAGCAAGTTTGAGCACTTCGCAACTTTCAGGATGCTTTGCAAAGATCGTCCACGAACACTCAACATTCAGCTGGATGGGATCGGAATTATCTTGAGTGGCATCCACAACTTGGGTTACATGGGCGTCCACGTCCGTGCAGTAAAGTTTGAAGAACAATTCTGGGACAATTTCACGTTGTTGGAAACAATTCTGGATTTTTGTGTGATGGGGCACTCACTTTTCCAAGTTCCACGACGGAAGGTGAAGACGAGCCTATGCAAGTCCGCTTTGCGGTAAAGATCTTGCCTTTCCCCCACGACCCATTTTTCCGGGTACAGACAAGTCAACGGGTCGTTCTCTGGAAGCCATTTTTGCTTGCCTAAAATTATAAAAGTGAGTCAACGTCCCATTCAAGCAAGCATTCGCATTCGATTAATACTGTAAAAAATCATTTTAAACCATCTCAACAAGATGAAACATTTAAATTATGCATAGTAGGTTCATCAGGAATAAGTTTTGTAATTTTACTGTAATGCTGCAATTAAAGATACTGTGTCGCACTATAAATGCGCAGAGAAACTAAAATCAGCCATATGTGCTCTCCTTACGCAATGAAACGAAATTCTTTTTCTCGTCCAAAAAAAAATTGGCAACCACGAAAATTTGAAGTAAAACAAAGCCTTGCACATCAAAACTCGTTAGTTTGTTAAGTTCAGGTTGTTTTCCTCATCTATTGTAATTGGCAGCGTCGGATTACAAAAAAAAAGTCACCCCGAGATTTGTTCTAAAACGGGGACCAAATTTCGAGGCTTCAGGAAAAGAAAAATCACAAGTCAACTAATCGCGAATGTAAGCATTTTGAAACATATTCCTACCCCAAGTTCCCTTTTCCTCACCGTGAGCCATTATTAACTAAATTTATGCTAGAATTCGATGATACAATTCCATATAAAATAAATTGTTGAAGAAATTGAGCTTTCATTTGAAGTCGAAATCTGTTTATCGGAATTCAGAGTTCTTGGCATTTTGCGGCCTAAAGGTGCGCGGAAACGAAAATTTGTAGCCTACCTTAGCCCAGGTTTAAAAGTAAACTAATTCCACCAACTTGAAAATAATATGCATGTGATGTGCTAATGAATTGAAAATTAGAATCTCGTTATAACAAATAATCGCTTGCAAAAAAGTCGTTTTGTAAGTCCTTGGCCAATAGCCACAATGTTAAATGAGTTACCTAATATCAAATTTATCTTTCTAATTTTCACTCTTTAATGTGCTGGGATTTTATTGTGCAAGATCGACTTCAGTAAAAATCGTTTTCCACTTGCCCAGAAAGGCACGTTGGAACACAGTAGTTTCGTTTTGTGAAAGACATCGGAAAGCACAAGAGGAGTTCCCACCACAAACCGAGATCACCTGCGAATCTAAGCTATTCATCAATCGTGGAACAAACGTCAGTAATTTTTGGAAACGTCACCTGATCAGCACACCTGCGCTGCCAATTTAAACAAACTTCCACAGAACTACAGACCACCAGATCACCGATTAAGCCAAAAATGAGGATCAAATAGTTCGAGCGACTCTTGCAAAGCTTCGAGTTCGCCATTGGACCCAAGACGGATTTGGGTGAACGCTGGGAAGTGATGCAGTGGTTTACAAAAAACTGGCACTTATTGTGACACCACAGAAATATCTATCTTTTTTCCACATCGTCTGGATTCCTGTTGATTTCGTTGAAAATTGCTCAGTCACGTTCGACTGTACCACGTGTCTTCCAACACACTAAAAATTGTCAAAGAAACATGACGCTTCTGAAAACGGTTCACTTTGAGCATGTGCAGAAGGACAAAAAAAATAGCTCTTCGGTCCGAAATACGAAACTACGAATTAAGCGTGAAAGAAGTTCAATTTTCAAGATTACGAAAATAATCTGCTCATGTGAAATGTTTCTCTTTTCAGGGGGAAATGAAGTTTTCAACATAAGAGACAAGAAGTTTGGAATCAGCGAATGATACATTAAAACATAGAAGGCAATTCGGTATCACCATCTACATGAAACCATTTAAGGCCGCTTCGCATACTCATGAAACCCAACAGCCAAACCAGGACCCTTTCATTTTCCTTTTCCACCCATGTCCGATTTGAGATGATCAGCATTTCTGCCCTAGATTGCAGCACATGAAAATTGACGAATATTATGCTCAAACGAGAAAATGTCAAGACCTATAGGGTAAAATCATCATAGAAAGTAAACACAAGTAAAATTGCTGGAAGTTTTTCATTCGCACGTCGAGAATTGGAAACACTTGAGTCATTTTCCTACGAAATAATGGACCAGGACTTTCAATGCGGGTATGTGAAGTAAAATATAAGGACGAAAATATTACCACAAATAATTCACGAATACGGACAGAAATCTTATTTCATGTGCTAAAGTTGAAAAAGACAAACGTCTTGTATTGTTTCGCAGAACTTTGTAGTCAGTGGTTTTCAAAAATTTAGACAAGCAAGAATATAAAAAGAAAGAGGACTTCGTTTGATTGCTATAGAAGATTATAAAAAAAAAATTCGCTCAAAATTTAACTTGAGGGAACTGATCATAGCTTATTCTCAAGATGGTTTCTCAAAATAGTGAGATGGCATAATCCCTGTCTTTGGCTCATTTTTTGGCAAAACAACAGCAAACAAGATGCAGCTTGAAACCTGAACACTCAAAGAAATTCGTGTGCTTCTACTGAGTCATCCGCTCAATGCAATCCACCATAAAAAAAATCTTTCCGACGATTCAGCACTGCAATAACCTAGATGAATCCAGCATGACGTAACTATGATGAAGCGACATCCCAGTATACAGTACTGCACCCTTTACTCTTCTTTAGAATAGATAACTTTTTTCATCCTCTAGTCACAACTGGTAAAAAAAAAAACATTCCTTATCCGCGACTGCATCCCATCGCATGCACAAACGTGGCACCTCTTGTTCCCCAGGCTTACAAGAATAAACACTGACTGACGGATAAACTGAAACCCGTCAGCGAAGGAAGACAACAGGCTCAGGGAATCGCACCCTCCAAACACACGGGGTATCTGAATCGAAAAATCAACAGGACGATGGCGTGAATCAGCCATGATATACCGAAACCTGATAAGCTTTCATCATCTAGAAATTGTCATCGCGAGATATGTTCACCTAACCGATATATGTTCACCTAGCCGACTGGCACGATCCGGAAAAATTCCTCCAACTCAAAAGTACTGTACCTGCTAAAAGCAGGATTCCTCGTCAAAAGATTTCATCCATGATTTTTTTTTTTTACAAATCTTTTCGACCCAAGTTCTATCTGCACTTACTTTTGAATCTTGAGGACCGCAAAATGTACTTCGATGATCGTAAATAAATACTACACACAAATAATCAATTATTTAAACGGCTATATATTGTATTTCGCGGAAAAGAGACAGGTCTTGAAAATTCCTCTCCAAAATGGGCTCGGACCTATTAATCAATTAATGTGTACAGTTGATTGTATATACAATATTCAGAAGCAAGAAACATTTTTGAAACAAGTAGGGGATGAACATGCAGGAGGAGAATGCTTTTAGTTGAAATCTTATTCGAATTGAAAATATTAAATTGATTCGTTTCAAAAAGCAGGAAGGCGCATACTGAATCTAGATGGTGAAAACAAGATAACCAATTCTCAAGCTAGACTCCTCAGAATGCTCACAAAACAGGTGTTCAACATTCAATTGCTTTCCCACAGGAGTCACGCCATTCAAAAGAAGTTTTCTTTATCTGCCTGATGCTTTTGACACGTCAATGAAGCGCCTGAACAGTCATCATCGAAAGCAAACGACTTCGTACTCTAATTTTTTGGCAATAATGCACGAGTTCAAATCAGCAAACAAACTTTGATTCAAGTGGTGTCAATGCGGAGAATCTCGCACAGTGTGAAATCAAAATCTTGGAACACTTGCCAAATAATTATGATAAAGCATTATACGTAATTTACCGTTAAACTTTCGGAATTTACGAGAGACATCAACAAAAAGTCTATATACTTGGACTCTCTCCACAAAGAATTCCAGGGGACCAGAAAAAAAAATTGTGGAGAACCCCTATGGGGAAAAAAATATAATAGAAACGTTGTACAGAACAAGAAAATTCTAGGGTAATTGAGGTAATTTGATTCTCCCTTCTTGCCAGGATATATAAAAAAGGAAGCTCTTCACACAACCAGGATTCCCCGAAAATTATAACAAAGCTTTCTTTGACGATGGCTCGTCAGTGCTGGAAGCTTTTTGTTCGGATATTGCTAATTATTGGAAGCATGCAGAGCTGCATCGGATCACTGTTTGACTGGGAACCTGGGTTGTGCTCAGCTTCAGAAAACGTGCCAAAATTGAGAAAATCGTGCCCGAAATGCTGCGTCGCGCGTTTGCCGTACATGAAGTGCGAAATGGTGTGTCAAGTGCCTTGCGGGGAAGAATGGCTGGAGTACTTGGAGAAGATCAACGAAATCACCGACGAGAACGAGTTCCTCTACTTTCAGAGATTCTGGGAGGTTGACAGATATTATTCCCCCTATGTCATTTACAATCGGTATTGAAGTTTCTTTATAGAACGCGAAATATACGATGAGAACATTTGTAGATTAAACGACGATTACCCAATCCCTGGTTCAGTAATTCTCATTTTTCTTGATTAATAACTTGGCAGAGTTCCCGTGCGATTTCCAAAATCAATACTATGAACAGAAATTCAACGCTTACTGATGAAGTAAGCGATATTGCAAACGGAAGCTCTGTAATTTATTCGACCCAAGATGCACCTGATTATTTGTACAGTGTTTTTTATACTCTTATATCTTATACGGTAGAATCTCGTCTCAACGAAGCGTTTGGAACCTTAAAAAAGCTTCGTTATGAACAAAAATTCGTTTAAAGAAATTAGAATAACACTGTGGCTACCTGACGATTCTGACTGAAAAAAAAAACGTTCTAAGCATCAATTATTTTTCACGATAGCGTTTCTGTGACGAGATTCTGTTGCATATGTCACCGAATTTTTTCACGAGGTTATCAAAAGTTGGGTAATGTTCATGTCGATTAAATTTGATTTTATTAGGGATAAATTAGTTGTGATTCGATGAGGGATAAAGGTTCTCAACCAGGACTCTGCATCGAGTTCCCATAAACTCGTTTAGGTACCACAAAAATTTAATTAAACGATCAGAAAATGAGTACTTCGTAGTCAACTGCTGTTTGCGCATGGTGAGATACATGATACAAGCAGGAAGTACAGAAAGACTGAATATACAATCTGCTCAGGATTACCATTTATTTGACTCACCATGAAATCCGAAAAAAAATAAATTCCAGAAAGGGCTCCGCCAGTCAAAAAGGTGGAGAACCTCGAACTACCGCACTTAACATAGTTCACAATGCTGTACAGTACTTCGGGCAAGTCTTCGATTAAAGCGACACCTGTCCAACACTAAAAGACGCAACGTGAGACGTGAAAGAAGCCCGACTTATTCTGAGGGAGTGCCAAAAAGAAAGGCAAGCATCGCAACTTCACCAACAAATAAATGATCTCACTCACCTTTCCTCCGGATTTCCGGCCGATGTGCATGCTACCGCTCCAGAGCACACACTGGAATTTCTAAAATTCTGCTAATTTTAGCCACCGCCGAAATCCTCGAAAATTCACTGTGCAGAATTCAATAAATATCCGCGAGAACACCATCAAACAGCCAGTTTCGGAAACTGAACTTATTCCGAATCAACCTTCTGCGGTAAAAGAAATATTATGCATAAATAATGTGGATAAAGCAATCAAAACTTATCCAAGAAATTAAAAACAAAGTTTCTCAACCGAGGACACTTTTTACTTCCCCAACGGTCGTGCAACAACCGTGACTTTCTCTGAATAGAATTCAAACAAGTGAAAAGCCACAACATTTCTTAGAAGTCAACGAACCGTAGAACAATAAAAAAATGGAACTATCCTTGTTGAATGTTCAAGTAATCGTCACCGCATCGTCATTCACGAGTCTCGACTCGCAGCATTTCTCGCGCGAACGTATTCCCACATACCTATGGAGGCAGCCACGTGCACATTCAGAGATCTTAGAATTCCTGACTGAGGAATTATCACATTGACATCAACCATATTCAGCAAATCTCCGGGGATTCCTTCCTTCTCATGCCTAAAGATCAAACGCGCTACATTAGCACACGACGCTTTTGGGATTTTCCGTTAAAAACGTACCCTAAAACCAGCAGACTTTTTTCAGGAAAACTGAACTCCTGAAGAGGCACGCTTCTTGCTGATTGTTCCAAAGCTATAATTGTGTACCCAGAAGACTTCATGGATCTCAAATAAGGCCTTAGATTTAACTCAGTCACCTGAAAAGAATCACGGATATGAGAAAAGACGCAAAATAGGAAAACGTTTATGGACCTCTCGGATGGTCATCCACTTCTCCGCAGTAACGCTGACGCTTTTGAAACTCGGATTTTCGATCATTTTCATCGACCGAATGACATATTCATCAACACCAAGTATTTCGCAAGTTCTGCATAATCCTCCCAAGTTCGGCGCTTTATCGATCAAGGTTGCCACGACGATCAATCCTGACTGCTTCGCGGACAATCTTCTTTCGATCAATGGATCTGAACAGCCTGCGTTGATCAGCATAGCTCGAGTGGGACCGCAATATCGACTTGAAAAATGCTTCACTTGCAAATTACTGAACTGCAATGAATCACCATGACCAATCGTTACAAGCAGTAAACGAAGGGAATCATAATTGCATTTTACTTCAGACTGATCATCGGTAAGGCTTCCCTCGTGACAATCATAAACGCAGGATACGCTTTGTCCCGGAGTCGAAGATTTTGTTCTCAAGGGTTCGGCGTTCGGATCAAATTTCCATATTAGATAATCAAAAGAAGCATCCTGTCTCAAATTGGGGAGAATTTCATCCTCAGGCATTCCGCACGCTTCCGGGAACCAATTGAAAATGGTCTACAAATGAAATCAGGAAATCGCAAGACTCATCAGACAGCTCTTTTCAATTTTTTTTTCATTTCACAGAAAAATGTACCAAACCTTTTCATTATACTTCAACGGATTGAATTTCAGCAAAATTTCCTCACATCCCACTTTCCTACGCACACCGACGTCGGGACAAGCGCATTCATCAGCTGCTTCGGTTGCTAGAGTGAGAAGGGAAATTTCTTCTTTGGAAAGAATTTTCGTTTGGGACCCACAACTCCTTAAAATTTCTTTCGTTGCGATCTATCACCAACAAAAAACAATGATCAACATTCGCACGCCTGATAATTCAATAAAAAAAGACGTCAACTCACTTGAGCATAAACTCGAGTGGCAAAGTTGTGTGACATGCACAAAGAAATCACTTTCTTCAAAAACGGCCCTCTTATTGCAGCGGATGATAAAATCTGAGGTTTACCACGCACAGCAAGCACGACCACACGTAAGATCGATGCTACGGGACCTCCTCTATTTTTGGCACTTGTTACGACGGCTGACAGAAACTCGTTGATAAAATTAGGAAATTTAGCCAACAACACTGCTGTGAGCCACTCCAAAAAATAAAAGATGGACGCTTGAACACCGTCACCAAGGATCACATTCCTTGTCCAATCCAGCCAACATTTTGCTTCATCGTTTTCCTGAGGGCAAAGAAGAAAACGAAAAGAATTCAAGACAGGTACAAATCATATACTGTACTGTAATGTATTATACTGAACTGAACAATAAAGCGTATTACGAACGGAACAGGGAACTCATTTCGGTTCGCTTTCTGGCTATTATCAGAGAAAACTGCACTTATACGAGAAAACCCTAGTTTATTTCTATTTGGTAGACAAAGGGGATCTGCCATCGAAAAATAAAATTGTTTCTTTTCGGGAACAAAAGACGATCTCATTTACTACATTTCACGTACAATAATTTCGATAGAATAAAACTACAGTATTTATTTTCAAGTTCGAATAAATTACGGAAAAAATATCAAGAGGCAATATGTTTTCAACATTCCTCAGCTATTTTGATAAAGGAAATACAGAAGACTGTAGTACAGTACAATAAATTTCGTCTTTAGAAGATCTGGGAATAAAACGCTTTAAAAATATGTTCATCGGGATAGATACTTGTGACACAAAAATGAAGTGATCAAATAAAATTAAGCTGAGAATTAGGACACACCCCAATCTTTAAAAAAAAAAGATCAACTTGATTCAAATCTCTGAAACAAGTTCTTCGAAAATAATTAACCGCATAATGAAAATTGCAGAATTGATGCCAACCATGTTTCCGAGAACATATTTTAGGCTTCTTTTGCGAAATTGGCGAGCACTGCACAGAACCTTACATATTTCTTAAATGCGTTAGAATCTTGATTATACGTGCCTTACATGGCTTAAAACATCCCGTGAAGCGCCACAAACCAACTACAGGTACTGGACTTGACAAGACATCGGAACTTTCATATCTCAGAGAAGATAAAATAATATTAGGATATCTTACAGTTAGTTACATGGTTCTTCAAATTGATCCTGATGCGTAACCAATTTACCAATTATTTCACATCAAAATGGAAAAACAATACGACTTTTTCAATTGAGAAAAAGTGCACCTAAGAAGGTGCAGTCATCGATCGGGTTAATAGATTTTTATCGAGATGCGATACGTAAAAAATCCGGAAGTAGAAAGGAAATACAGCTCATCGCGGGATAAAATATTCAGAAGCACCACGATCGGAAGAAAAATCTATGAAATTGTAATTGATAAAAATAACTTAATAAGAAATTTAAATATTTTAATTGCAGACACGATAACTCAACAAATAAGACGTACCTCATCGTTGCCCTCGAAAGAACTTGCTCCCAACATGAGTAACTGAAGCATGCGTCCTTGCAAACGATGTTCCAGTGTGCCACAAAAATTGCGCGACGAGCTACCATTCGCCTGATAGAACGACGCTCGCCAGCAACGCTCCATAACATCATTGCAAATTTCTCGAACATGTTTCCGAGTTTTGGCATGCGAAAGATCCAACTTACATAACACATCCAACGACATCAATCGCACTTTGGCGTCATTCCGAACAATTCTGAAAATTTTCAATTTTGCTTATCATGATTTATAATGTTTGGAACATTTCCAACGCACGTTTTGAAGTCCAATAACGAGCGAGTATATTCAACAGGATCCTCGTCTGTCGTCAAACGGTTTCCAGAGAGCAAAGTGTCTAGTAGCCTGTTCAATGTCATGGAAAATGCACATGTGAAACAATGACCATTAAAAACGCACACTAATTTTTACCTCTCATCGCGGCGTCGTGATGGACCAAATAAAAAGGTGTCAAGCAAGAAGACACGACCTAACGGTACCTCAAATATCACACCGCAGGCAGCGAGATTTTCTTTAATAATATTGGCGACTACGTTGACAATAAGCAGGATGCTTTCGCCAAGATCCAAACAGGATTTCCAGACCTGGGAAGTAAACAAGAAATTCTACATTTTCCTAAGCGCTTTCAGAAAAATAAATAAATTCGAATGAAAACTGGAAAATCTTCCCTAATCTTAGTCTAACAGGAGTAATAATTTACTACTGTATTTGCATTTTTAATCATTTAGGCGACGAGATCCAGCGACGTTAGAAAAAATAAATATACCGGGAAGTTTCGAATATTCTTTCAAATCAAGGGAAAAGAGAAGTGAATTTCATAAAAATAACGAATACCTTGACGAGTGTATGGCCCGAAGTTCCATGCGACGATGCTTTCAAAAATTTTGAATGAAAAATGACTCTCATAGTCGCTTTCAGCAGCAGCCAAAACGTTGCATGTCCACGTTTTGCAGAGACGAAATTCCACAGCGTTAAAAGTTTCTCCGAGTCGAAATTCCCCCCGTTCCACCCATCTAAAATACTTTTGAATCCGCAGAGCCAGTGGACAAGAACATTGTCGTTGTAAAAGTCAAATGATCTCAAAAAGGCATCGAGAAATTTGTCGCAAATAGAAGGAATGTTCAAGACTTCGTCAACTGAAGCACAGCAATACTCCAGGAAATCAGCCAGTTCCGTGTCGCTTACATCATCCGTTTTTGCGAAAAATACGTCGATTTTAATTCCACACATACTTGCGACAGCCCGGGAATACCAATCGCAACTGGGAAACTGCGACAATTTTTCTTTCAGAAGATTATTTTCTTCGTCTTTTATCAGCCGAAGCAGATTGAGACCCGTCAATCCTGGCAAACGACGGTCTTTAATGGAAGACCAGACATGTTCTTCCACCAAGCTCCAAAGATTTCTCTTGGAAGGAATAACACCGGTTTCTTGTTTAATTTCCAACAGTAGAGAACACAAGGACCCGATATCATTTACCGCCAACCTGGAAAAAGCACTAATTTATCAAAATGAAATTAATGTTAATATTTCATGCTTTACCGCAGCAGAATCTCATCAACGGAACTGATGACTGCGTCGTCACTTGTGTCTTGAGTTGGTGCATCAGTCGTGGAAAAGAAGGCGGATAAAATTAGCGAAAGATGATGGAGCTTTTCTAGTAACTTGTCGCCATGCATATTCTCAGAATCTTGTTCAACTACTCGAATGATCTCATCTTTGAGAGAGCTCCTTCTTGACATCAAAAACCGCTGCATTACTCGGTTTCGACGTCGGGCAGAGGGAAACCCCAATTTCATCGCATCCTGGCTAGGACTCCATTCAATGTCGACGTCATGCCGACTGAGGCATCGCATGATCAAATTCGCAACGGAATCCAGATTGACGGGACTTGAGCAAACAAGCAAGCAGTTTATCCATAAAGTCACTATAAGTTCTCGTATCTTCGAAGGAAAACCTGACGTCCTTTCCGGCAACCGCGTCCACAATAACGTAACTGACTTTTTGCTCAGTTCAACGCCCTGTCGTAATCAGGAACGACCAATAAAATCTCACTTCGTTCCAGTCGACAAAAAGGTCTCTACAGAGAGTACCAGCAAACATAGAATTTTCATTTTCAAATTACCTACAGTATGTATTTCCAGAAAAGTTGAAGCTTATTCCTCCAAAATTATTTTCAAATTTCGGCTTATTTGACTTAATTTTCAGTGATTGTTGAAGTAGCTAAATTTCTTGAAGCAACACGGACATTTTGAGAAAATAGAACTATGATTTGCATAAGTTGAAATCCATTCGAACGAATCGTGTCATGATTGATTTTTTGCATTAAAATGCATTTTTCAAACGTCTCGGAAGCTTTTTCATAAAAAACCATGCAACACAACTCTCAGCTTGAAGTCATTTTCTCCTGGAATCTCAGAATAAGAAATATTTCGCCCTGAATATTTACAGTGGTAATAGGAATGTTGGTTAATTGGCAAAACAACTTTGTTTCCAAGGTACTCGGGAGTTCGTCGTAACGAGATTTTACTGCATATCCTATCTTGTACATTATGCTGATTCCGTATGAAACACAGTCCAGGTCCGATTTTCGAGTAATCTTTAATCCAGGAATAATTGCTTCATGTGCTTTCCATGCAGCACCAATTTACAGATAAGTTATCCTCTGCATGTCAAAATGATACATGATGTAATCCAAGGTTTGATTTAAGTCACGCCGTACACCAAGACAATGGGGGGAAAAAGGGAGGCACAAAATTGTCTTCTCTTCTTTTTCACGGCAGGTAAGCTGCGCTAGAGACCTCTTCCAAAATCTAAATAATTTAATAATAGAATCCAAACGTGATCAACTATCCATCCGTTATCCCAGTGAAGAAAAATAGTGAGACTAACCTTCCGTGCAGCAGACGCTAGTCCACAGGAAAGCAACAACATCGGTAGTGGTCCAAGGTTTTGGCTCAAAACAAGGTCAAAAAGATTTTCAAACCCAGCGACTTCAATATGAGCACTGAACCAAGAGCATAACAAGCCAAGTATTTCTTCAAGATTAATATCTGGGAGATGATAGATCCTGCTATCATTTAAAGCTTTGATGAATGTAGACGACAAAAACTTGAAATCGTCTTCAGAGCCCCACATGCGAAGATCCGAGATTCCAATAAAGATTTTCAATCCCTCCATCACAACCGTGGCATTTTCGTGTCTCCAGAATCTTTCCATGAGTACGAGATACCAATCAGAATCAACGGCAGAGGAAAGTGCGTATCCTGAACCAAAGTAGGATCTAACACGGCCCAAAGTTGGCTGAACCATGTGCAACTGCGGTTCAGCCATGGCGATTATGAACGACTTTAATGTATCCATTTCAGGCGGGGCCAAAACTGAAAACAGCAAACCAGAAATGGAAAAATAGACTTGAGTTCCCGTCGATAACTCCTGACCAGTACGATACATCTACTGTATATTTTTGTTTTACTTTTCCGAAATCCCAGTCTTTGATGAATTGAGCTCTCAAAATTCATCTTTATTCACCAGCAAATCCATCAGTGAAGCTTTCACATGTGAAGATAATTCATTAACGGATACAATCGACCGGTAGTAAAAACGTTAAAAAAACAGTAGTACAGTAAATGCCAAGAATGACTACTTTACAGTAACTGGAATTTGAATGCAGTATATCATGAGCATAACTTGGAAATTTAGGTACAAAAATAACCAACCACGATTCGCGAGGGGAATTTTCCATTCCCTTTCAGCACGACTCACGTAGCAGAAGGATTTCTGAAAGTTTCCTGCATTCCTGGCCTTCGTTCACAAGACCATCCCGAATAATATCCCGCAAACACTTAATCTTCCAGTAAGTCTCCATTTCATCAATGCTTTCGGGAGTGAATGTATGGAATATTGCAAGTAGTCCACGATACACGTTCACCGGTACAGAACTTCCCAACGGCCGCTTCGTGCCGTTGAAGTCCAGAACATCTTGAATAAAAAGCTGACTTCGCACGTAACTTGCATGCAGTCGAAGAAAATCCAGAAGACCAATGCTTATTTCGTCGGTCCAAATGTCGGCGAAGGCAGCACGTGCCACCGTTGTTATCAAAACACAGTCTTTACATGATCTCAGACTTCTTTCAAGGAATTGCCAGGCGGACTTGGAATAGGTACGTGACTGAGATCTCTTTTCCAGAAAGACTCTCATTAGATCTTCGCAACATCTTGATGCGGTGGAAATATCGACCTGTTCGTAAGAAATTGCTGCCAACGAACCGAGTTTGTCGACAAAATCCACGCTGAAATCGTTTTCAAGAAATGCTCCAAACGCGGGAAGAAAAACTTCTCGATGTAGCCTCAGAATAACTTCTTCTCCAACATGAATTGAAGCAAGTACGTCGACCAAAACCGCGATACGCCTGGAGGCATTTTGCTCATTCACAGAATGCTGTTCAAAAATGTCTTCGAATTCCATCAAGCACTGCACTACTCCATCTTTGCTGATGAAATCCTCCATTTTCAGCACCACACACTCTCGCATCTACAGATAATGTCCAAAATTGACAAAAACGCAGATAATTTATTCGAAGAAAATAGCCAGCAATTGTACCCGAAAACTTCGATTTTAACGAGTCGAGGTGGACATGATGAGTCAAATAAAAGGTGAAGAAAAAAACGCCCACCAATTAACGAAAGCAATTTATATTCCGGAACGAGTTCTGATAATCATCGAAACTCCTATCCAACGATGCAATAATCGAAAAACCGAAGATATGAACAAAACCTAGACCTAAAAAACTTAATGAACCCATAGGTTTGAATAAATACGATTGACAAGATTGTCCAAAAAAGTCATTGAACAACAGAAGCATAACATTTTTTTTATCCCACAACATGCTTTCCAACATCCAATCTACAGCTAAGATCATTTTCATCGCAAGAGTACAATGAGCATATTCGAAAGTCACAACAATTAGCTTCAGGTAACCAGGAATGAAAGCAACTGATCACAGCAAAATTATCCATTTAAACTCCGAGGTTTCATTACCGCAAAATGACAGCTCCCTAGAATTTAAAAATTGTTGAAGGAAATCGACACTTCCGACACGAAAAACCCATCGACCGTTTCATCGATGGGATACAGATACAGTATGAGGAATGGTTCGTATGTTATGTTAGTACCTTGAACATGAAGCTCTTCGGCTTTTCAATCCAAATCTTCGAAACCAGAGGGGAACAATAACAATTCTTCAATCGGAGCGCTGACCTGGGCAACTTGATGCTTACCAATTGACATTATAGGACAAGCTCTCTGATCGGCATCACCACCAAAATTCGTCAACAACGTCACTTAGATCCTGCAGTTACTCATATTATTCGGCGACTACTTCATTTTCTTAGAGGGGATGCACTTTCAATTCCGTCTCATCTCCGATTCGTTCTGGATGAGCGAAAGTTGAAGCATCGTTCACGAGAGGAGATAATTTTTGCGTTAAAATAAAGTCAACCTCCGAACCATTCAAAAAAAAAAAAAACTCCTGACAGGGCAGCACAAGACTGACGAAATAATGAACCAATTCTCGTATCTACTGTAGTCGATGATATCTGGTACAGATTGAAACAATACAAAACTTCTGGAACTTGAAGACAGTATTCGTAAGCAAATTGTCCATAATAAAATAAAATAAATCCACGTCCTCCAGGTAAACAGGATTACAGAAGCATCCACAAAATTTAGGCTGATTCAGCCAACTAACGCATTGTTCAAAATCTGTCCACAAGAAAAAAAAAAAAACCTCAAATCAAGGAAGCTTAAACTGAAGATCACATCGAACTTCCGAAATTCACACTTCACTGGCTTGCATTTCGGCATCTACAGGGGTTCGGATTTGATATTTCCCATCTTCGAGAACCTCTACACTAGCCTGAGTTGCGTTCGACCGTGGTGGCGGAAGCAAAGTAGGCTTTTTCCTTTTCGGTACCAGGCTTTTTGAGGAGTCACCGGAACCAGAGCTACTTTTGCCACTTTCAATGCTTTCCGCACTGTTCGGAGGAGATGATGAAGCAGTGTTTCCCGATGGCAAACACGATGCATTTTCATCAATATTTGTGGCATCAGCATCCGCGGGTCCGTCGATGAACTGGATTTGCTTGGGTGGAACCACAACTGGGCATTTTTCGGTTTCGTCATCGGTCACAGCTTCGGCTACTGCCAGCGGGGGTCTTGATTCCAGCTTGCTGGAATCTTTCAAGGAATCCACCAACTTCTTTTTGACTCCATTCTCCTGCGTAATCATCAGAAAGGCAACAAAAATTGTCACTAATGATTATCTGCGCAATATTTTCATTAGCACCAAAGTACCCCTATTGACGCTACTAGAACAAGAAATAGATTCCATGAAACACACATAACATTTCAACAATGGAAAAATAATCATGATTTGCTCGAAAATCAACGACCTATTTCAACAAGCTTCACAATAAAAAGGAATTTGAGAAATTGCGTCGTACTGTGTGATCGAAATCCACACCAAAATTTGAAAGACAATACAAAGTTACGCACTTGTATCTAATGCCACAAAAATAAACCAAGAAGATATCGAATAGAGTAGAAAAGAGGTTGAAGCAAATTTCCTGAAGCTTTTTTTTACTTAGTACGAAAAAATCATGAAAAGTTAAGGTCTAAATATATAAGATTTTCTTTCACTAATGAATTTTTAATCGTTAATTACTCGCTTAACGTTTACATTAATGAAATGAAATTCTGAATGGCAGAGACTTACGTGACATTGAATGAATATTAACTAACTTTCGGACTCTTCTGTGATGAACGGTTTTCCTGAGTAATATGAGAATCTAAGAAGCACCCCGATTACTTGAGACTTGAGAGTCATGATTCGAAATGTTTATTACGGTACATTCACTTTAAAACTTGAGGACAAGCTCCTGTACAGATCATTGGGCATATAACCTTCTGAAATTGCATAGATTTGTATCATCAGCTTTTCGCTCATGAGATCCACAATTTCAGCTACCCGCTAAATCTTACTACCACTAGATACTAAAAAGAACAACTTCCACAAAAAAATTAGGGATTTCCCTAACTGACCTCTTCTCGACGCATATCTTCAACAATCGCTCGGATTTCCGACATTGTCAACATCCATTTTGATTCATCTTCCTCTTCTTCAGAATCGACCACGGCAGATGCTGCGCCAGAATTTTTGGCACTTTTCGATGAACCAGCATGGGATCCGGTTGTCCGTACTTTATTCCTACAGTTCGAGTGCGAAGAATCAGCCCCACCACTCGAAACAGATTTCTTAGGCCTTCTATTGCCGTCTTTGGTGCGAGATCTTTCCTGACGCCGTGACGGATGAGGGGCAGTAGAAGAGGTTGGAACTTCAACTTCCCTTTCTTTTGTCCTTCATGAAAGAAATTTCAGGGTAGCAATTAGAATCATACAGACACATGAAAAAAACAAGACAATTAGGAAAATCTCAATTTGGATAAAATATACACACACCCACGGAACCTTCAATTAGAGAATCGCTCAAATTGAATGAAGTGTACTCACTCAGGTGCAGAAGTGTGCGTTGCATCGAGTGCTTGATTCGAGACTTCGGCTACTGTAGTTCGATGCCAACCATTCAAGGCTTCCAGCAACGAAACAGTTTCGTAGCCCCAAAATCCACCCAGGCCTCGTGTCAAATACGCAGGAAGGTTGCCTCCATTTGTGTTTTCTTGCGCAACGCCCTGCGAAAAACGCACCAAAAAAGTGAATCTAGAAACAGAAAGCATCCAAGAAGAAAATAAGCGAGCCTCAATACAGGAAATGTCAAAAGTTACGGTTGGATTAGGTGAAGTTAGACTATGACAGAAGTTTCCTGCCTGTGTTCTACGGAGCTTTCAAGTCCCCGCCTGCAAAAATTTTAATGGCATCCTAAGCCGTTCCGATTTGAAAAAACAGATGAAATCAAGCAATCAGTAAGAAATGTAAGATAATCGAGAGAGCTGAGGGTTGTAACTTCAAGTAAAACTTGACAGAAATTTACAAATTTCAGAAGAGAGTAATATATCAAAAATTTCTAAACCAAACTAGGTTTAAGACGCTCTGCCACATGAGTCGATTATAAAAAGTGCTTGAAACAAAAGCGAACGAAATTCCTCAAATTATGTAGTCACTCCTTTTCTGTCGCATATTCACACTGAATTCCACAGGTGACAGAAACCTCAATGCATGCATTGAACACGGGATGAAAGATGAACACGAAAGAATTTTTTTATAAAACAAGTGCAGTAAGAGCAAAAAACGAACCGTCTCTCGACTACGTGGAGCATCCGCAGTCTTTTGCACGGCCCGTATCTGCAGGAGAGCGCGAAACGGGACCCGACAAATCGGACAATTGTTCGCCTGATAACGAAGCGATTCCGCACATCTATTGCATAAGCACAAGTGTCGACACGGCAAAATGAGCGTATCCCTTGGATCAGACATGCAGATGACACATTCAGCACCAGTATCTTCATCGTCGCTGCCGCAAACATCCGCGATTCCTGGCTTCCCAGCAGTTGCCGCCCCATCAAATGTGGAGTTGTGCTTGTTTTCAATTCCATAAATTTCTTGAAGTAGGTAACACAGTCCATCAACGAAAAGTTTCTGCTTGAAAGCCTTCAAACCGAAGGTTCCATCAGAAAACTTCTCAATGACGGCAATCGTTGCTTGTGATTGACGAGGCTCTGAAAAATTTCGGAGGAAAAACGAAAATTCTATAAGGTGTTGAGGAAAATGCTGCACATTATCGATGGATCACTTCCGACAAAAGTATTTTCAGACTTGCGCAACATCTAGATTTTTTTTTCAAGTATTTAGCAATAGAAGGAAATGACCGATGCAACAGAATACTGGGACAAGGAGATAATTTGAATAGTTTTCAAGGCACAAAGATGAAGCCTTGTCCGCAAAAAAACGATAATGTAAGCTTCGTGGACGATGAAAAACTATCAATCGCTGCGCGGCAGCCGACACACGGTACTGCCTTAAAATAAGCAATGAATAATACCATCTCCTTCTTCCGCAACACAGTGAATGACCACCGGCATGATTTCATCCTCATACGAATAAGACATATCGTCTTCAATCCATTCAGTTGTATCCAAAATATGATCAGGCAATGAAAACGTTTGGTTGGCTCCCTTCGTGAATTTCATCGTCTGCGAATTTTTCGTTGGATCTCTCGGAGTGTAACTAAAATGGTGTGAAGACGTCAGATAGCATGCAAAACAAATGTGAAGTATCGGGCACTTACGTCAGCCCCTGGGATGTAACTTCTTCCGTGCAGCAATAGTAAATAGTTACTGCACATCGACAGTCACAATCCAAAACAAACTCAATATTAAATTTTGTAGATTTCGGCGCAGGCGCGGGCTCATTTTGAGCTTCTGTGGAATCTCCATCCACAGGCGTCGGCTGAGGTTCTTCTTTCGATTCAATTTTGACAAAATGTAGACTTTCTTTTCGGACGTTTACAAGCGCTTTCAGGGTCTTCGTAGGTTCATTCGGGTGAGGGGCAGGATACGGAAACTATGCGAATGAAGGAGGAATTTTCAAAAATCTTCAATACCGAATCAATACCATATGCTTACCGGCGTAGGTCGAGAGCCTAAGAAATTCAGATCCATACAATCGCCGAAGAGGAACGCTTCCGGTTGAGGTGTATCGAACTTATCTCCGCCCATAATAAAATGAGAACCGAAATAATTCCCTGCAGAGTAAACGAGAGATACAACATAAAAAGTTCCGCGCATCACAGGGAAAATTTACTCCACTCGCACAAAATCTTACCTGCTTTCGGAGGGTAACGATAAGCATTCTGAGTTCCCAAGTCGATGTCTTCCAGTTCATCCCCGGGGCGGCTATGGAATGAACCCATTTTAATTCTAGAAAATATCTATCACACTACGAACAAATCCTTGCACTGAAGAAACAAAAATCTTGATTAGGAATGCGCATTCGACGCGCTAACACCTGGAGAGTCATTGCCAAGAAGTTGTGTCGGATATGTACATTTCACCGCTAAAATTCACACCGACTTTAATCTTACGACTTAATTGAAGGCGCAAGGCCGGAGAGTACAGTATATTCATTCGACCCCCACTTGACTCGACTATTCAAGCCTAAGAATCACTATCTGCAACGAAGAAAACTTTCCAAATTTCGAAATGTTGGACTTCGGACAGTTCGTAGATCGAACGAGTAGGCACGAATTCGAGTAGTAAGGGTTTTATAGTAAGGGAAGAGTGATCATTCTTCCCTCGTCCGCTTGATCCGCTCCCGAGACTCCGCTGATCTGCCATGAGATAAGCTTCTGTGCGTGGGCTCTCAGGACGTGAGGAGTGGTTTGCCGGGTTTGTCCGCTAGATGTCGTGTTTAGACGTAAGTAGACGGACTTACTGAGTGATCTCCTTCGTCCCAACTCTAGTCTGGTGAAGTACAGTACAGTACTACGAATTCAGTTACTGTTGGGTCGTCTCTACGGACCTCTTAAGTCATTTGAATCTTTGTTAGGTGTCACTAGCATTCGGAAGAAAGGAGTTGGTCCGGTCAAATTCAAACCGCCTTATTCTGAGATGAGATTGGACAGGTGGGGTGTGGGACTGGGACACGTATTACTGCTGTAAAAGCTGCTTCTGCTTCACGTCACTCGAACAGTAGGCGTTGGGGAGGTCCAAAACTACACCGAAAGCATTTAAGGCAGGAATTTTGACCCCTCCCATCGCAATCCCCATAGAAGTGAGAGGGCGGCGTTCAATTGGACATTGGTCAATATGCGTATACAGTACTCGTATGTATATACAGTACTATAAATAGAGCATAGGTTTATGTTTACAGATACGTGAATTTGCATGGATGATGAATTATGAATTATCATGCTTACGTCAAAAGTATAATATCGAAACCTTTATAGACATGGTTTCAACTCAAGCACAATTTTTCTTATGACTCAACCAGCAAACGCGTTACGGAGATGCTTATAAATTCATTTTTAAATGCTTCATTATATAGGCTGAAATCGAAAGTATTGTACTGTATATATATACTCGCAGAAGCCAGCTTATTAAATTTGTTCAATTCCACCAGGCCTTAAGACATATAGCTTACACTGCTGAGAATCTTTGAAATACTTTATCAAAATTTTTCATACAGTTGACCTTCATTTGACCTTAATTGTAATCGGACTGCTGTGCTGATATCAAAATTTTTCATATCAGCACAGCAGTCCGATTACAATTAAGGTACATATCAGAAGATGCATGGTTGAATACAGTACAGCATTTGAAAGTTATGTTTGAATATTTGTGACAACTTTTACTAAAAAATTAGAAACCAAGTAATCTTTCATTTGATAGACTACAGCAAAGATGACAAAACTTTTGCAGTATACCAACTGCACCGGCTGGCGGTTGGAGGGACCAGCGGTGGCCGGCTGGAGGGTGCGCGACCGTGAATTGAACGGCTGGCGACTGACCTGGTACCATACAGTATATACTTCTGACTAGTTCTGAGGTATGTCCTTTTAGACTCGCAAACTTTCTGCTGATGGTGCTGATGGACTGGCAAAAAAGTTCAGCTAACCTGTGATGCCAGCGTATAGATCATGGGTTAAAGACCCCTCTGATACATGTTAAAATTATCCCCTACCTGAACTCATCAAGTGCTGTTGAACCAGCACACCAGACGAATGGAGATTCTGCGGAGGCGCTTAGAAAAATGGTACCCTTCCAGGATGATCCAGCTCATAAAGCTGTACCCCCTCTTCCGCCCCCCCCCCCCACTAATATACGATTTATATTCTTCATTCCAAACTGTCAAGTTATATTCATCGGTTAATTTATGTAATGGTGATTTTTCATTCGGCGGTAGCAGATCATTTAAAAATTATAATATTTGATGCCAGTTTAAAAGAAATAGGTTATGATTCCACTGCAACGTAGTTTTAATTTAATCGTTATTTCATTATACTGTATCACTTAATTGTCAATTATCAACAGCTAGGCAGGCGCCTCATCGGCATATTCAAATATGAATTAAATGCACTACAGTTTAACCTCGATCTCTATAAGAAAAAATTTGGACGGAGTTCAATAAATTTTACTTATGGAATTATTCTTACGTTGGGGAATATTGCTTGATCTGTTTCGGTTTATCAAGGAAAATATTTTCTGTCCTAATTATTAAAAATGCCTGACTCTCAGGTGTCCTGCAGAGACAGGACGTTTCCTTACTTCTTACGGAGAGCATTGAGATACTCATTTGCATCTCATTTGCACTCATTACTCATTTGCATGTTTTATCTTCCTGAACAGATTTTCTAAAATTTACCACTAGCTTAATATTACAAAGGGCATAAAAACCAAACTAAAGAAGGGAAAACATTTTCGAAAAGGGATTTTAAAGTGCATTGGTCTTAAAGTGTTATTAAAGCAGGGATTCAGAGGAAATTTTAAATAAAAGAGCTTGAATAAAGACTTTTGGTACAGAGTGGCTTATACAGTATATAGAGTCAGAAAGGTTGAATCTCAAATTATAGTAATTTATTGTAAGGATTTACAGAATTATGAAGTATAGCTAGTACTTTAATGTTGTTTGGAATATCACGGTTTTCATTTATTATACATTTCTCACTATTTGATAAGTACTGTAATATAGTCTGCTTAATTAAATTTAATTGTAACACATCAACTGAATGTCCTGATTTTTGTGGGATTTTTGCAAAAGAATGCGGTATACACCTTAAATTCTTGAAAAAGCAATCGTATTTGCAGAAGTTCATCCGAAAAAAGATTTTTTGATCTTATAAAGAAAATTTGTTTCAAAGCTAATCATCACATATTTGAATATGTCATTTAATTTTCATGGCATTGTTTATTTGTTTGAAATATCCTTGTATATAGACTAAGAAAACGTAATACAGTATATAAATTATTCAAGGACATCCAACTTTATCCCAAGAAGAACAAACATGATCGTGAAAACCTCTAAAAATTCCCTGTTTCAAAATTTTGGGGGTTTGTACGCTGGGATGTTTTTAGCAGGAACATTTGCTGGCCTAGGCCCCTTGGATTGTAAGGAAGTACTGTATAGCATTCTATAATTGCTGACTATCACAGTTGCAAAAGAAAATGAGCATGGACTTAAAAAAAAAAAAAATTAGTCTTAATAAAGAGATGCCAGCTGGAAATGCAAGGTCGGAGAAAATAAAAATAAGGAAATTTCGGGATTCATAAACTGAACTTTCTTTTTTTGATGGTCAATCGCGGAAAACGCCTGAAATTACTGCGTGCAGCTAGATGAGAAGCTGATGACGAGCCTGATTTGCCCAGGCGTTCACTCCACCCGCCCTACACCGCCTCCATGAACTCAGCCAGCATCCCGTCCAAGCCCGCCTGCGGGGTCCAGTCCTGCCTCGACCGCGAAACCCGTGGCACCTCGGTCGGAACCGGCGGAAAGCTGTGCAGTGAAGTAACGTCTCACCAAGTTGGGCAACAGGCCGTGAAAAAGCCTGCTGCTCATGGTGAGGATAGATATATAATGGCGCCGTGGGATCGTGGGCTTGCAGCAGCGCAAGGACAGCCACTCAGCGACTGTCCTTGAAGCGCCGTGTTTTCCCGTTGACTGCTGGCGTGTGATCTGCCCAGCAGCAATGTCAATGGCCCTCTCCATCCGACCATCCGTGCTCTCTCATTATGAATACATGTGTGAGACCCACCCATGAACCATTCGGAGCTCTATATAGAGCTGGACCGTAAAAAATAAAGCGAGGCAATGTCCCGTTCAAACCCCGGGTGACAACCCGCAGATGGTACTCTTCCGAACTTTTTTGTAGCTTCCCAATCTCTTTGTTAAGATCTTTTTGGAACACAGTTGAACCTGGTGAATAACTCTAACCTCCCTGAATTGAATACCTACCTCCCTGTGTCGAAATGTTTCCTACTTTTTGTATTCCCCTAGAAACAATGTATTAAAGACGTTCCTAACTCAAAGGCTTTCCTGGCATCTAAAACCTTCATAATTCGAGTTGTTTGGAGCACAGTTGGCTATTTTTTTGACACAGGAAAGGGACCAGCAATAAAAATGTCAATGTTATGTTCTGAAAAGAAGTGAAAAACAAAGTGGACAAATGAACCATTGCATCCAAGTTCAGCATCCTGTTTACTTATTTAAGAAGCAATTTAAGGCCTAGAATATCCCTAATTATAATTTTGTGTACCCTGACAAAAATGCTTGTTTCCCTTATTCAAAAACCTCCGAAGTTGAATATTTTTGCTGGTCCGATGAAGTTCAACGTACAGAGGTTCAACTGTAATTGTATTCCGTAGAATCAATTCTATCTTTCCTATAATTTATTCAAAGGGAAGTTCAAGAGGAATAATGAACGAGAAGGAAATGGCGGACAAAGGCAATTGAGCCGCCACCTGTCGGATGCGAAGGCTGTTGAGTCTTATAGATTCATGCTGTTTATTCGCGGACGCTATACTGTATGCAGGTCTTCTTCGGCCTATTCCATCATCTCACTTCAGCATGTGTGTGTATACGTGTGTGCATATTTCGTTTTCTTCATTCCGCGTTTTACCAAATTTCATTGCATACTTTTTTGGAGTTCACGGGAAGTGTTCGTCGAGCACATGATGCAGCTGGGGACCTGCTGTATACAGAGGGGCATTGAACGACGAACAAAATCCTTTCTGGCGGCTAGTTCGGTGCTCAAAACTTTCGTTGTCCAAGTCAGGATTTCCCACAGCAACCTGTGGAAAAAATGGATAACTGTAATTATTTCCCGCAAAATTGAATAGTATGATAAAATGAAAGAAGTTCGCTTAAAAATGAACAAGAAAAAAGGAGCTGCCATAATAATTCAGTAGAATATTGTTACAATGGATCTCGTCATGACGATGAATCAATGATTACAACGAATTCGCGTTTTTAGT